AACCTCTGCTAGGGCAGTGCGGAAGGGAAATGCGGGGTCGGAGCCTCTACACAGAGTCTCTGCTGGGGCACTGCCTAGTGGAGATATGATAAGAGGGTCACCATTGTCCAGAGCCCAGAATGGTAGATCCATTGACAGCTTGCACTGTGCACCTGGAAAAGCTGCAGACACTCAATGCCAGCCTGTGAAAGCAGCTGGGAGGGAGCCTGTACTCTGCAAAGCCACAAGGGCGGAGCTGCCCTAGACCATGGGAACCTACATCTTCCATCAGTGTGACCTGGATGTGTGACCTGGAGTCAAAGGAGATCATTTTGGAGCTTTAAAATTTGACTGCCCCGCTGGATTTTGGACTTGCATGGGCCCTGTAACCTGTTTTGGCCAATTTCTCCCCTTTGGAACTGCTGTGTTTACCCAATACCTGTACTCCCATTGTATCTAGAAAGTAACTAGCTTGCTTTGGATTTTACAGGCTCATAGATAGAAAGGACTTGCCTTGTCTCAGACGAGACTTTGGACTGTGGACTTTTGGGTTAATGCTGAAATGGGTTAAGACTTTGGGGGAGCTGTTGGGAAGGCATGATTGGTTTTGAAAAGTGAGAACATGAGATTTTGAGGGGCCAGGGGTGAAACGATATGCTTTGGCTGTGTCCTCACCCAAATCTCAACTTGAATTGTATCTCCCAGAATTCCCACGTTGTGAGAGGAACCCATGGGGAGGTAATTGAATCATGGGAGCCCATCTTTCCCATGCTATTCTCGCGATACTGAATAAGTCTCACAGAATCTGATGGGTTTATCAGATTCCACTTTTGCTTCTTCCTCATTTTCTCTTGCTGCTGCCATGTAAGAGGTGCCTTTCATCTCCTGCCATGATTCTGAGGCCTCCCTAGCCATGTAGAAATGTGAGTCCAGTTAAGCCTCTACAGGCATGGTGGCTCACACTTGTAATCCCAGCACTTTGGGAGGCTGAGGTGGGCAGATCAACTGGGAATTCGAGATCAGCCTGACCAGCATGGAGAAACCCCATCTCTACTAAAAATACAAAATTAGCCAGGCATGGTGGTGCATGCCTGTAATTCCAGTTCTTGGGAGGCTGAGGCAGGAGAATTGCTTGAACCCGGGAGGCAGAGGTTGCAGTGAGCCAAGATTGCGCCATTGCACTCCAGCCTGAGCAACAAGAGCGAAACTCCATCTCAAAAAACAAACAAAAAACAAAAAACTTTCTTCTGTAAATTGCCCAGTCTTGGTTATGTCTTTATCAGCAGTATGAAAATGGATGAATACATTTTTTTTTTGTATTTGTTGTAGAGATGGGGTTTTGTCACGTTGCTCAGGCTAGTATCCAACTCCTGCGCTCATGTGATCTGCCTACCTTAGCCTCCTAAAGTGCTGGGATTATAGGCATGAACCACTGTGACTGGTCTAGGTCTGTTGGTCTTTTAAGATATTTTTAATGAATAAGGGTGATATGGCTTGGTTCTGAGTCCCCACCCAAATCTCCTGTTGAATTGTAATCCCACTTGCCAGAAGAGGGACCTGGTGGGACATGATTGGATTATGGGGTAGATTTCCCCATGCATTTCTCATGATAGTGAGTTCTTCTGAGATCTGTTTTCATGTGCGTATATGTGTATGTGAATGGGTGGCACTTCTTTTGTTCTCTCCTACTCTGCCATGGTAAGACATGCCAGCTTCCCCTTTGCCTTCCACCATGATTGTAAGTTTCCTGAGGCCTCCCAGTCTTGCTTCCTGTTATGCCTGTGAAACTCATGAGTCAAACTGCCTTTCTTCATAACTTTCCCAGGCTCAGGTAGTTCTTTCGCTTTCTTTTTTTTGAGACAGAGTCTTGCTCTGTCTCCCAGGCTGGAATGCTGTGGTGTTAACTTGGCTCACTGCAACCTCCACCTCCTGGGTTTAAATGATTCTCCTGCCTCAACCTCCCAAGTAGCTGGGACTATAGGAACATGCCACCACACCTGGCAAATTTTAAAAAAATATTTTTAGTAGAGATGGGTTTTTACTATGTTGGCCAGGCTGGTCTCAAACTCCTGACCTCAGTTGATCCACCTGCCTAGGATTACAGGTGTGAGCCACTGCACCTGGCCTCAGGTAGTTCTTTATAGCAATGTGAGAACAGACTAATACCAAGGGTTATAGGTTTTGACACCACTTATACGCTATTAACATGCAATTTCCTAAAATGAACATGTAAAGGTAAACAAGGGCTGTTCCAGAGACATGGTAAATAAAGCATTCTAGGAGTGTAGAAATAGGGAATGCTGCAAATAAGCTAGACTCAGAAACCAATGTGGGCCAGGCATGGTGTCTCATGTATGTAATCCTCACATTTTGGGAGGCCAAGATGGGAGGATTACTTGAGCCCAGAAGTTTGAGACCAGCCTAAACAACATAGTGAGATCCCATCTCCATAAAAAAAGACACAAAAATTAGTTGGGCATAGCACAGGCCTGTAATCCCTGCTGTTCCAGAGGCTGAGGCAGGAGGACCACTTGAGCCCAGGAATTCAAGGCTGCAGTGAGCTGTGATCTTACCACTGTATTTCAGTCTAGGTGACAGAGCAAGACCCTGTCTCAAAAAAAGAAAAAAAAAAAGACAACATCAACCTGTTCTGCAATGACACCCAGGTTGAGGTGATGAACACAGCTACTCATGAGGAAAAGAAAAAGGGAAGCGCCACAAACATGAAATGTCCTACAACCCTCAAACACAAACACAGTCAGCCTGTTGAACGTGTGAAGATTCTGAGGTAGTATCACTGCAACCAATGCTAATCTCCCAGTTCATCTGCCAGGGGAAGGAGATCCCTGTATCTCCAGGTGGTTGAAGTAGCAGCAGTCCCAGTCCAGGCCCCAGAGAGTAATCTGGCCTCTCATGGGAGCTGCATCTGACCTGTACCTGTTTCCTTATGTCAGAAACTGCCCGCATGCAGACTGTGGTGGGGGGCCTGCAGGTGAAACATCATAATCCCAGGAACAACAATGCCAGGAGTACAGGAAAGGCTACCGTCCATGCAAAATTCACACTTAAAGTGTAGCTTGAGAGTCAGATCAGACCAGGGCAAGGGTATAAAGTGCTACTCTTTTTTTTGAGATGGAGTTTCGCTCTTGATACCCAGGCTGGAGTACAATGGCACGAACTCGGCTCACCGCAACCTCCGCCTCCTGGGTTCAGGCAATTCTCCTGCCTCAGCCTCCTGAGTAGCTGGGATTACAGGCACGCGCCACTGTGCCCAGCTAATTTTTTGTATTTTTAGTAGAGATGGGGTTTCACCTTGTTGACCAGGATGATCTCAATCTCTTGACCTCGTGATCCACCCGCCTCGGCCTCCCAAAGTGCTGGGATTACAGGCTTGAGCCACTGTGACCGGCTAAAGTGCTCCTCTTGAAAGAGGCTCGTGCATACTCAGCCTCCACACAAATTTGGGACACCCAGCAGGCTGTCAAGTGGGTTTACCATCATGATACATTTGTATCTTAAATGTGAAACATGGTTCAGTAATCACAATTCCTACCCAGTTGTTGAAAATACTATTCAAGGCTGGGTGCGGGTGGCTCACGCCTGTAATCCCAGCACTTTGGGAGGCCAAGGTGGGTGGATCATAAGGTCAGGATTTCGAGACCAGCCTGGCCAACATGGTGAAACCCCATCTCTACTAAATATACAAAAATTAGCCGGGTGTGGTAGCAGATGCCTGTAATCCCAGATACATGGGAGGCAGAGGAAGGAGAATTGCTTGAACCCAGGAGGCAGAGGTAGCGGTGAGCTGGGATCATGCCACTGCACTCCAACCTGAGTGACAGAGCAAGGCTCTGTCTCAAAAAAAAAAAAAGAAAAAAGAAAATACTATTCAAGCCTGGCGCAGTGGCTCACGCCTATAAATCCCAGCACTTTGAGAGGTCGAGGCGAGCTGATCACCTGAGGTCAGGAATACAAGACCAGCTTAGGCAACATGGTAAAACCCTGGATGTGGTAGAGCCTGCCTGTAATCCCAGCTACTCGAGAAAATCGCTTGAACTCGGGAGGCGGAGGTTGCAGGGAGCCAAGATCGTGCGGCTGCACTCCAGCCGGGGCCACAGAGTAAGACTCCATCTCAAAAAAACCAAAATATTCAACAGGAGCACCCGGGCTTTTAACATGAAATCGTAAATATCTGACTCAAACATAACAAAATAACACACAATTTTATTTGAACTTCGGAAAATCAGAAATGAAAAAAACTCAGCAATTTTTCTTATCATGCCCAGGTTAACAGAGTCAGGGTTAAGGGCACCACGTGGGCACCCATGAATGGAGGTTCTGGTCTGTTGGTTAGCTTGAGACAAACGACTGATTCATCCTCCACCTCTTCTTTTCTTTTTCTTTTTTTTTTTTTATTAGAGATGGGGTTTCGCCGTGTTAACCCGGATGGTCTCGATCTCCTGACCTCGTGATCCGCCCGCCTCGGCCTCCCAAAGTGCTGGGATTACAGGTGCGAGCCACAGCGCCCGGCCCCCACCTCTCCTTTTCTTACTTAAAGACGGTGAACACTTTTTCATGTCACTGGAGTCGGAAATGGCTACAAAGCTTGGTGGGAAAGCCTTTATTCCACGGTCCCTTGGCAGTTTCCCACGGCGGGGGAGCAGCTTTAACTCGCCCATGGGGAGGCTGGAGCCAAGGTCAGTCCTAGAAACGAGGAGGTTTTGAGGGCAGACAGCGTAGAAGACTCAAGAACACAGCTCCCAGGATTGGATTCGCAAACCCTGTTCCCCGGCGCAGTCCCGCAACCTCAGCGGGCGGCGAAGCTGACCAAGGGCGGCAGGCGGGGTCGGGGTCACGTGACGGGCGCCCGGCCGGCTGGCGTGCGCGGGAGCACGCAGAGTAACTCGGCCCTGGGCCGCGCGCCCTGCGTGCGCGCGCATGCCGGGGGCGGAGCGTGTGGGCCGGGCCTCCGGCGCGCGCTGCGGGCGGGGGCGGGACAGAGCGGGGTAGATGGGGTGGGCGGGGCCTAGTTCTGCGAGGTTGGGCCGACGGCGTCGGCGGCGGGAGACGGGTGACCCGCGGCGGGGCGCCTCGGCCATGACTGCGGAGCTGCAGCAGGACGACGCGGCCGGCGCGGCCGACGGCCACGGCTCGGTGAGCTCCGCGGCGGGGAGCGGGAGCTGGGGGCGGGCTCCGGGCCCTGAAGGGAGCGTGCGGGGCCTGTGGGGCTGCTGGCTGCGGGCTGCGGAGGGCGTCCGGCCGGGCGGGACGGAGGGGTGCGCCCGCGAGCGTGGGTGAGAAGGCCGAGGGCTCTGTGGGGCTCGGGCCGCGGAGACTGAGGACTGCATCTTCGCGTCCGTGGGCGAGCTGAAGTTGGAGGGGGATTTCCAGATTTTGGGAAAGCAAGGATATAAAGGGCTGGACGTGGGGTTCGCCGCCGCAGGGAACAGTAAGGTGAGCGCTCCTGGGCCCGGACTCGGGTGAGAAACTTCCGAAAGCGGCAGCGTTGGTTGGTTTTGTTTTGACTTTTAAATGATTTTTATGGCGGCGTTTTTAAAAGGCTAAAGCAGACCGAAGTTACCTCCCTCCAAGTTCGGGATTAACAGGGTCTTCTGTAAGACCAGTGGTCCCAGTTACCACCACTTCCCTCCCTCCCCACCGGCTTTAAAAACAAACAAAACAAAACAGCGCAGCCTCGCCAATTATTGTATTCATCACTCTAGATTTTTAAGGGGGAGGAGGAGCAGCGTGATGAATAGAAAGCCTACTGATAAGGCTCTCTTGTTCCCAAAGTCTAAGAAGATTGAAATCAATACAGGGACTTGAGCTAAGATGGTGAGAGTGAAAGAGCCCTGGTTTGGGAGAGAAGCTAATGTCTGTCTGTATGAAGAAACTTGGGAAGAGGGCAATTTGAGCATGTCTTCTAGTGTTACTTCGGAATGTTACAACTTTCCACCACCTCCTCACCCCTCAAGTACTGCACTTTTTCAAGACAGAATGGGAATTCTGTGTCAGTTATTCAAATACAAGTTCGGAAATGAGAGACTTTATATTTGTCTTACAAAGCTGTCTGATAGATACCTTCAGGTTTGAATCCTTTTATACCTTTTTACTCTTTTGCCTGGAAGGTCAGTGGTATTTAGTACGAACGCACTTTTTGTTTGTTTGTTTAAATTTTTTAATTTTTATTTTTAAGAGGTGGGGTCTCGCTATGTTGCCCAGATGAGTGCAGTGGCTTTTCATAGGCGTGATGCCACTACTGATCAGCACCGGAGTTTTGACCTGCTCCGTTTCCGACCTGGGCTGGTTCACCCCTCCTTAGGCAACCTGGTGGTCCCCTGCTCCCGGAAGGTCACCATATTGATGCCGAACTTAGTGCGGACACCGATCAGCATAGCGAACTACAGCCCAGAATTCTGGGGTTCAAGCGATCCTCCCACCTCATCCTCCCAAGTACCTGGGACTAGAGGCATGCACCACCGCCCCTGGCAGTTTTTTTGTTTTCTTTTTCTTTCTTTCTTTTTTTTTTTTTGAGACAGAGTTTCCCTCTGTTGTCCCAGGCTGGAGTGCAGTGGCGCGATCTCAGCTTACTGCAACCTCTGTCGCCTGGGTTCAAGCGATTCTCCCGCCTCAGCCGCCGGAGTAGCCAGGACTACAGGTGTGCGCCACTGTGCTCAGCTAATTTTTTTTCGTTTAATTTAATTTTATTTTTTTAAGAGACAACGTCTTGCTTTGTTGCCTAGGCTGGAGTCCAGTGGCTGTTCACAGGTGTGATCCCATTACTGATCAGCATGCGTGTTTTGACCTGGTCTGTTTCCGATCTGGTCAGGTTCACCCCTCCTTAGGCAACCTGGTGGTCCCCGCTTCGGAAAGGTCACCATATGGATGCCTAATTTAGTGCGGACACCCGATCGTCATAGCACATTGTAGTCCAGAACTCCTGGGCTCAAGCGATCCTCCCACCTCAACCTGCTGAGTAGCTAGGACTACAGGCGTGTGCCACCACGCCCGGCTTTTTTTTTTTTTTTTTCCCCCTCTCTCTTTTCTTTTTTCTTTTTCTATGTAACCTTGCTAAGAAATCTTTTCTTTTTTTGAGACGGAGTTTCCCTCTTTGCCCAGGCTGGAGTGCAATGGCACGATCTCGGCTCACCGCAACCTCTGCCTCCCAGGTTCAAGCAATTCTCCTGCCACAGCCTCCCAAGTAGCTGGGACTACAGGCGTGTGCCACCATGCCCAGCTAATTTTTTTTGTATTTTTAGTAGAGACGGGTTTTCACCATGTTGGCCAGGATGGCCTCCATCTCTTGACCTCGTGATCCACCCGCCTCGGCCTCCCAACGTGCTGGGATTATTGGCGTGAGCCACCGCCCTGGCCATTTTTTTTTTTTTTTTAGGAGACTCGTCTCGCTTTGTTGCTGAGGCTGGAGTGCAGTGGCTTTTTACAGGCGCGATCGCACTGCTGATCAGCACTGGAGTTTTGACCTGCTCTGTTTCCGACCTGGGCGGGTTCACCCTTCCTTAGGCAACCTGGTGGTCCCCCGCTCCCGGAAGGTCACCATATTGATGCCGAACTTAGTGCGGACACCGATCAGCATAGCGAACAACGGCCCAGAATTCTGGAGCTCAAGCGATCCTCCTACCTCAGCCTTCCGAGTAACTGGGACTAGAGGCATGCGCCACCGTGCCTGGCATTTTTTTTTGTTTGTTTTTCTTTTCATTTCTTTCTTTCTTTTCTTTTTTTTTGAGACAGAGTTTCACTTCATTGTCCAGGTTGGAGTGCAGTGGCAAGATCTCGGCTCACTGCAACCTCTGTCGCCTGAAGCGATTCTCCCGCTTCAGCCTCGGGAGTCGCAAGGCGCCCAGCTAATTTTTTTTTCCGTTTAGTTGTTTTTTTTTTTTTTTTAAATAAAGAGATGGCATCTGGCTTTGTTGCCCAGGCTGGAGTACAGTGGCTTTTCACAGGCACGATCCCACCACTGATCAGCACAGGAGTGTTGACCTGCTCTGTTTCCGACCTGGGCAGGTTCACCCCTCCTTAGGCAACCTGCTGGTCCCCACTCCCGGAAGGTCACCATATTGATGCCCAACTTAGTGAGGACGCCCGATGGGCATAGCACACTACAGGCTAGAACTCCTGGGCTCAAGCGATCCTCCCACCTTCAGCCTCCTGAGTAGCTGGGACTCCAGGCACTTGCCACCGCGCCTGGCTGTTTTTTGTTCTTTTTTCTTTTCTTTTCTTTCTTTTTTTTTTTTAGGCAGAGTTTCCCTCTGTTGCTATGCTGGAGTGCAGTGGCCTGATCTCGGCTCACTGCAACCTCCGCCGCCTGGGTTCAAGCGATCTCCCGCCTCAGCCTCTGGAGTTGCCGGGACTACAGGTGTGCGCCACGGCGCCCAGCTAATTTTTTTTCCATTTATTTATTTATTTTTTTAAGAGACGGCATCCCATTTTGTTGCTGAGGCTCGAGTGCAGTGGCTGTTCACAGGTGCGATCCCGCTACTGATCAGCACGGGAGTTTTGACCTGCTCGGTTTCCGACCTGGGCAGGTTCACTCCTCTTTAGGCAACCTGGTGGTCCCTCCTCCCGGAAGGTCACCATATTGATGCCGAACTTAGTGCGGACACCCGATCAGCATAGCACACTGTAGCCCAGAACTCCTGGGCTCCAGCGATCCTCCCACCTCAGCTGAGTAGCTGGGACTACAGACACAGGCGCCCAGCGCTGATTTTTGTGTTTTCAGTGGAGAAGGGGTTTCACCATGTTGACCAGAATGGTCTCGATCTCCTGTCCTCATTATCCTCCCACCTGGGCCTCCCAAAGTGTTGTGATTACAGGCGTGAGCCGCCATGCCCGGTGTTATTTTATTTTCTTGAGGTGGAGTTTTGCTCTTGTTGTCCAGGCTGGAGTGCAATGGCGCAATCTTGGTTTATCGCAAACTTCACTCCCGGGTTCAAGTGATTCTCCTGCCTCAGCCTCTGGAGTAGCTGGGATTACGGTATGCGCCACCATGGCGGGCTGATTTTGTATTTTTAGTAGAAACAGGGTTTCTCCATGTTGGTCAGGGTGGCCTCAAACTCCTGACCTCAGGTAATCCGCCCACCTTGGCTTCCCCAAGTGCTGAGATTACAAGTGTGAGTCTCTGCGCCCGTCTGGATGCACTTTTTAAAATGCATGTAGAAAAAGATAGTTGCAGGTTCTGGGCTCCAAAACGAAAGTATGTGCCTGGTTTTTCATGCAGTGATTTCTAATGGAAATATTATTGTTAGATGTTCACAAGTGCCAACTGAAATGTGTCAGGATTTTTCTCTGGCTTCAGAGATCAGTTCTATTTGTTTTTAGGACACTGACTTAAAAACATGGGAAAAGTTTACTTTGGGAACTATCATAGTGATTTAGAGAAGAGACTATTTTAAGGGAGAGAAGTCATATTTAAATTTGCATGGCTCAGTCAGTTAAGACCATGTGCCTATTAATCAGTGGCATCTTCATTTACCTCTGCTGCAGTTTGAGTAGTGACCCTATTTCAGCATTCTCCATTTGAGAGTTTGTGTGTGAGCTGCTTGATGAGCATTTGTATGTAAGTCATAGCTATTTTGGGAAGGCTTGGAACTCCACTGGCTGTGGCTGGCTGGAGTACTCTGATTCCTGGCCACCTGCAGAGTGATGATATTTTCTGTTCTTCCCAGTGATTTGCCCTATACGGAAAGCTGATAAGCTTGGAATGCTTGATAATGTTTGCCGTTTTTATTTTTGCTAATAAAATGCTTAAAAGTTATCAGGATAGATTAAAGGACCTTACAGGAAAAGCACCTTACAGGAAATATTTTAATAACTTCTTCCTCGTCTTCGTGAGTTTCATGTTAGAATGGATTCTTTTATTTTGAACTCTCCGAGGCATTCTTCCTTTCCCTTAAAGGATATTTCATTGTTCTAGTTGAGAAGACCTATCCTCCCCTGACACTCAGAAGCTATTTAAAGCCTAGACTGTTCCCTTCCCTTATTGGTCAGTTGTACACAGGACAGACAAAACTTTTTGGCCTCCCAAGAATTTTAGTGAGAGAAATATGTAGTACTCTTGAAATATGCTCTCAGTTTGGACTCGACTCTGAGAGTAGACAATGATACTGCTAAATCTCCCAGACTGCAAACTGGTATTT